TGAATGGGCCAGAGACTGCACAGACTGCAAATCCACAAGCGGTTACCTCTTCCAATACAGGGAAGGAACCATAAGTTGGTCTAGCCGAAAGCAAACAACTAATGTACTTTCCTCAACTGAAGCTGAATACATAGCAGCAGCACACGCTTGTCAAGAAGCAGTATGGATTTGCCAGCTTTTAACCTCCTTGGCGGTATTCCCGAGTGTGGCTCGGGGTTAATTTTCATTACCAAAAGCGGTAACCCCGGCATCCGTCTTCCGGGTTCTGTCCCTTGCGAGCGTATGCGTCGCAGAGGGGGCGGAACTGGTGGCAAATTTAAACGTAAAAAAAAAAAATAGAGACAAAAATGGGGGAACATTTTTTTAAAAAATCAGACCGCCAGGGAGGTTAATGGACATGGGCATAGACATGTCATACCCCATCCCGATCTTTCAAGATAACCAGGGATGTATAAAGCTGACACAATCAAAAAGGGTCAACCCTAGAACCAAGCACATCATTGTGAAGTATCATCTGCTTAGGGACACTCAAGAGCAAGCTATTACTAATATGCAATATTGCTCATCAGAAGAAATGACTGTGGATGCACTTATCAAGCCATTGCCAAAGGATCATCACAGTTTCCTTCGGGAGAAGCTAAATGTCATGTCTTATAGCAATGCATATGCTGTTGAGAAGGGGTGTTGGCAATCCAACAGCACATACTGATATGTTTGAGCTGTAGATGGCACTGTAGTGCAATGTTAGTTTTCTATATGCATGCTTATATATGATACACAGGGAGTTTTCCTATAAATATACAGTATATATGTTTCCGGCAAAATGCTGTTTTCCTATTGTTGGAACCGATAAAATTGACGTCTATGATACAGCTTTGATGCAAAGGTTCCTTGATATCTTGAATGGAATCATCATGTGGCTGTTTGATATGCAAATTAGGACCATCAAAGGGTTCTTGGGGCTGGACACTGATGAATGAAGTTCTGCCAGGACTATCATGTCCTGGGGCAAGCCCGACCCCCTGCTGGTATTTACTGCCCACACCTGTGTCAGCAAGGAAGCATATATGCTGGGATGGGGGCAGGGGCATATGATGGAACCTTCCTGTGTGATCATCTACACTAACCTAGCTCACCAGTAAGGCCAATGGTAACCTTGGTGACCTTTGGACAAGACAAGTCTTTCTGAACTCTACAATCAAGAATGTGATTCGCTGAGACCTGCTGGAGAGGCGTGTTCTGAGAACAGAGAAAAACCCATGGCATGTGTGACTGAGAGTGAGAGAATACCTATATACATACATGTAGTAAACTTCTTAGAATGGGAAACTTAATTCAGCATTCATTAGAAATATACAGGGGCAAAGGAAGGTTTGATAGAGTATAAACCGCATGGAATCTTGTGAAAGAGGGTCCCCTGTCTTTATATATTAGTAAAAGATACAGTTTTCCCCAAAAGGGGATCCCACCATTCCTTCAAAGTATGCCAAAATATTTATAAAAATATATTTATTGTAGAAATGCTAAAGTGTATAACAAACATATAAAAAAACATATATCAAAACATAAACAAACATATATATGGCTGCATTCAGTTAGTGGTTTTGAACAATGCTGTGCAAAACAATGTAGGGGCACGCCCTGGAGAAGCCTTGGTCTTCTTATATATAATGGTACTACCTGATATTAAAGAGATTTCCCTAGTGTTCAAAAAACTTATTTAACTTGGGAAATAGTGTCCATATTTATGGAAAACAGAGCTCTGTATTCGAAAAAATAAACATGCATGTGTATGGAAGAAAAAAGGAGGAAAAATGAACAGTCAGCATCAAGATATAACGAAAAAATGGATTCTAACTCACAGCGAGATATGTCCTCATTTATAGATCCAGCCTGAAGAAATAAAATTATGTTATCACTGCTGTAAATGAGTCGGCTTGAAGAAAAAAGGTGGTTCAGGAGATATAGCTTTAGCTCGGCTTTTTAAGCTGGTTGCTGTAGATCAATGCCTTCACTGAACTCCCATATTGATTCCGTGAAATGATTACTCCAGATCGTAAGACAACATGAAGCAAGAAAGGATCTTCTTTGCTGGATCAGTGTGGAGTGATTTGGTGTCCTTTTTCAAACAAGGATCCAAGGATCCAAGATAGTGTTCTTCTTTGCCGGATCAGTGTAGAGTGATTTGATGTCCTTTTTCAAACAAGGATCCAAGATAGTGTTAAAAAATTAAAATATCATGCAAAAGTTAATTTATTTCACTAATGCAACTTAAAAGGTGAAACTAATATATGAGACAGACTCATGACATGCAAAGCAAGATAGTTCAAGCCGTGATTTGTCATAATTGTGATGAATATGGCTTACAGCTCATGAAAACCCAGATCCACAATCTCAGAAAATTTTTGGCAGTGTGGGCAGGTGCCAAGTCCTGCTGGAAAATGAAGTCAGCATCCCCATAGAGCTCGTCTGCGGAAGAAAGCATGAAGTGCTCCAAAATCTCCTGGTAGACGGCTAAGTTGCATTAGTAAAATAAATTAACTTTTGCACAATATTCTAATTTTTCGAGTTTCACCTGTATATTAGATACAAACCTTTCCTGAAACCACAAAATGTTTTTCTCCATTTTCGATCAACAGACTCTGAGTATGTTCTTGTTGATACAATGTAAACATTGTATCAACAAGAACATACTCAAGAACATGTAAACATTGTATCAACAAGAACATACTCAGAGTCTGTTCATCGAAAATAGAGAAAGAACCTACTACAGCCATCATTGAAGCTTTCGCTATATCTGACGATAACACTATCTTGGATCCTTGGATCCTTGTTTGAAAAAGGACACCAAATCACTCCACACTGATCCAGCAAAGAAGATCCTTTCTTGCTTCATGTTGTCTTACGATCTGGAGTAATCATTTCACGGAATCAATATGGGAGTTCAGTGAAGGCATTGATCTACAGCAACCAGCTTAAAAAGCCGAGCTAAAGCTATATCTCCTGAACCACCTTTTTTCTTCAAGCCGACTTATTTACAGCAGTGATAACATTATTTTATTTCTTCAAGCTGGATCCAAAAATGAGGACATATCTCACTGTGAGTAAGAATCAATTTTTTCATTATATCTTGATGCTGACTGTTCATTTTTCCTCCTTCTTTTTTCTTCCATACACATGCATGTTTATTTTTTCGAATACAGAGCTCTGTTTTCCATAAATATGGACACTATTTCCCAAGTTAAATAAGTTTTTTGAACACTAGGGAAATCTCTTTAATATCAGGTAGTACCACTATATATATAAAGAGGACCAAGGCTTCTCCAGGGCGTGCCCCTACATTGTTTTGCACAGCATTGTTCAAAACCACTAACTGAATGCGGCCATATATATGTTTGTTTATGTTTTGATATATGTTTTTTGATATGTTTGTTATACACTTTAGCATTTCTACAATAAATATATTTTTATAAATATTTGGCATACTTTGAAGGAATGGTGGGATCCCCTTTTGGGGAAAACTGTATCTTTTACTTAATTCAGCATTCCTGTTGTCAGAATCTTCTTTGTCAAACCCTGCAATGTGTGTTAAAGGAGAACTATGAGGTGAGTGCTTTTCACTCACCTCATAAATCCAATCCTATGAAGAGATTATACTTTGTTGGAGTCTAAATGATCCATAGAAATTAATAGAGATTGTGGCTGTGTGGGTAGGCCCAACAATGAAGAACCTTACTGGATGCTGTGCAGCACTGAGGAGGCAACACCTATACTCACCTGTACCAAGGTCAGGTAAAGGGGGGTTTAGGACTGAGAGAGAAAGCAGGGGGCTCACGAGAAAGAATGTATCTGCTCTAAGGTCCAGATACTCTTTAAAACACAAATGTGTGACTCTGGAAACCTTGAAACTGTAGCTCCCCAAATACGGTTTAGCTTTCCTGAATAACAAATGACATGCAGGTGTATGGTGATTGCAGTATTTTTTGTGGTGGCTGGAAAGATGGCAGGGCTCACAGGCACAGTTTCTTTACAGGACTGAAGGGGCAAGGGAGTGCTTGATTTCCTGATTCAGTGGCTTTGATACAGTAAAGGTGCATTTAAAATAAAAATGTGATTTATGTTTTTTATTTTGTTCTACAGCACTGTGGTTCAAATGTGACTTTTGCATTCATTATTATAGAAATATATGTGTCTAGGGGCTGGTGGGCAAGGTGTCAGATATGCTTTTTATTTTACAAATAAGCAATGTAACTGAGACGTTTTAAAGATGTCCTGTAGTTGAACACGGCTATTAATAGCTCCAACACTGCTTTGTAATTTATGTTATATTTTTGTTTAGGCAATCTGGACTAGTTCAAAGCTACTGAAACAGGACTAGCTACCTCTAGTTTATTTCACTGTATGCCAAAAAGGTAAAAATGTAATTTATGCTAATTGTGTCTTTTAGGAATACACCGATACCATTTTTTCGATATCGAGTACAGGTACCGATATTTATCTTTCGGTACTCGTTGATACCGGGTACTGATTCTGGTACTTCCCTAGCATTGAGCTGGCTTCCCGGGCAATCAGGAAGCCGGACAGAGTGTCATTACCCACAGTCCGGTTTCTTGATTGCCCGGGAAGCCGGCTTCAGGCCATTCAGCATGGAGCCGGCTTTCCAGCCAACCAAGAAGTCGGGTGGCATTCACCCACGCCCGGCTTCCTGATTGGCTGCGAAGCCCGGTCTATGTTCCCCTTTGTGGCACTGCCGGTCAGAGCAAATCTCCTTCTGACCGGAAGTTCCGGTATTGGGGGTAAGTATCGGATCATTTGGTCAAGCACGAGTACTCGCCCAAATACTCGTTATCCGTACCAATACCGATATTAGGTATCGGTGCATCCCTAGTGTCTTTGTTGCATCAAGCAAACACCACTACTACCACACACACACACTTTTTGAAACTGTTTCTGTTTATAGTTTTCTACTTCTTATGTTAGTATTGTCTTTTTCATCCTAGAAACCGTATTTCTACTTGTGAGAAGCCTGATGATGTAATGGATTTTACAAACTACTGGGATGATTCTCTCTTCCGACCAATGTTCCGTCGAGAAGCAGAGTTAACATACTATGATGCAGATCTTGCTCCCTGGCCTGGTCAAGATGACCAATTGGCCTTTGTTGACTTTCCCAGGTCAGCTGAAGAGGTGGAAGCAAAAACTGAACAGCTCAATGTGGGCATAAATGATCATTTAGAGGAAGAAAATCTACAGCTTGATGACAATGACGATAAACCAGATGACCCAAGTCCTGTTGATTTCCAAGAACTTAAACGTCTTGCTAGTGAAATGGGTCAATATTTTGGTGCAAGTTTTTATTAGAGTAACATTTATTATTTAAATTTACAGCTATGATATTTATTTGGTTGCATTTTAATAATTGTTTTGAGCTGATGTGTAAGGGATATGTTTGCAATAATGTCTTCTACCTCTGGTAGCTTAGCCTACATTGTGTTTTTTTATTTTTTTTACTTCCAGCATTAGCTAAATGATGAAAGGATTAATATCTTCCAACCTTCTAAAGCATAAAACGGAGACACATGTAAATCCCACCACGCAAGCTAAACATGTCTCTCTACTAACTATGGTGTTACATTCCAAATTCAGGCTAATTTTGAAATGTCCCACAGCAGTTAAAAAAATGGTTCAGGCTGATATAATCACTTCTTCTCCTACACTGTACCATGCAGTAATCTATTTTTTGGTACTAGATGTTCTCAGTTTCCTGGGTTAAATGACACCATCATTCAGCCCAGAAAGCGGAGGATATACTGTGAGATGGGGAACATTACCACAACACCCTGTACTTATAGAGTAATGATGCAGAAAGCTGCACTGTCGTCATCACGTTGACAATTCTTTCTGCATCATTGAAGACATTGCAGCCCAGAAAAACAGGGGACCTTGGGCATCACGGCATCACATGACAAGCATGAAGACTTCTGGAAAAAATAGGTTAAAAAAAGTGTACAACGTTGCCTGGGCAGTTTTTTGGGGGAGGAAATGTGTCGGAGGGGGAGGGGGGGAGCCCGGATTTAGGCTTTAAGCCCCACCCACTGTGCTATGGTTCTCACCTTCTTAACCATGGCTAATCCCAGCACTGTATATCTTAAGATGCAGGGGGCAGGTGGAAGGAGAGTGTATTGGGGCTGATTTACTAAAACTGAAGCAGTCAGAAAATGGAGCAGCTGTATATAGTCACCAATCAGCTTCTATTTTCAACTTGTTTAGTTAAGCTTTGAAAATAAAAGCTAGAAGCTAATTGGTTGCCATGCATAGCTGCTGCAGATTCTGAATGCTCCAGCCTTAGTAAAAAGTGATGGGCCAAGCACCCCTGTGTTTGGCTCGAATTGAAACTTTAGAATAGGGATGCACTGATACCGATACTAGTATCGGTATCGGTGCTGATACCGAGTATTTGGGTGAGTACTCATACTCGCCCAAATGCTCCGATGCCTAGCCCGATACTTCCTGTATCAGGATGCCGGGCAGCGTGTCATTACACGCTGCCGGGCTTCATGATTGGCCTGGAAGCCGACTCGATGCTCCCTTGTCACTTGTGTAATGACGCGCTGCCAAGCTTCCTGATTGGTCGGGAAGCTGGTCAATCAGGTAGCTGCGTCATTACACAGCGCCCGGCTGTCTGATTGGCCGGGAAGCCGGCTTCATGCTCCCTCGTCACCTCATGACAAGGGAGTATGGAGCCGGCTTCCTGGCCAATCAGCTTCCATGATTGGCCAGCAAGCAGGCTTCATGCTTTCTCGTCACATAGTGACGAGAAGCATGGGGATGGCTTCCTTGCTAATCGGGAAGCCAGGTGGCGAGTCTTTACACGCTGCCCGGCTTCCCGGCTAATCAGGATGCCAGGTGGAGAGTCATTACACGCTGCCTAGCTTCCTGAATGGGACTTCCGGTACTCGGTATTCGGTAACGGCGAGTACCGGAAAAAAAATATCGGTACTCGTACTCTGTACCAAAATACCGGTATCAGTGCATCCCTACTTTAGAACATTAAAAAAAAGTTTGAATTCGAACGCTAACTCAATGCAAGTCTATGGGGCCAGAACTGGAAAAATCAAATGTCCCCATTTTGAAGGCTTATACTCAAGTTAATGGCCATAAAAAGGGTACTTCCCTGGGGGACATGTATAAATGAAAAAAACACTTTAAAATTTTTTTTAAAGGAGCAATGATTTTAACATTGCTTAAAGTGAAACAATAAAAATTAAACATTTCTTTAAATATCATGCCTGGGGGGTCCCCTTAACCTGCCTGTAAAGTGGCACTCCTGTACAATGTATAGAATCTGCTGAAGCAAAACTGACATTTATAAAAAAACAAAGGCATTTATAAAGAAAAAAAAACAAAAAAAGTATGGTTCCCCCTCCCAAAACGCATACCAGACCATGGTAGGAATTTTAGGAGGGACCACATGTAAAAAAAAAAAAAAAAAGTGCGTTGGGTTCCCCCTCAAAGTCATACCAGACCCTTGATCCGAACACAGGCAGGGCAGGAAAGGGGGCGAACTAGCCCCCCCTCCCTGCGATACCAGGCCACATGCCCTCAGGACTTGGAGGGTGCTTTTGGACTTGGATTGTGATTCCTACTGAACCAGACTGAGAGACCATTTAAAGGATCAGGAACCATTTGCAGGTGTTATGGCTTAATTAGCTGATTAGAGTGGGACACTTTGAGCCTAGAATATTGCACCTTTTCACAATATTCTAATTTTCTGAGATTGTAGATTTGGGGTTTTCATGAGCTGTAAGCCATAATCATCACAAATATGACAAATCACGGCTTGAACTATCTTGATTTGCATGTAATGAGTCTATCTCATATAATAGTTTCACCTTTTAAGTTGCATTAGTGAAATAAATGAACTTTTGCACGATGTTCTAATTACAGGAAAAAGGGTATTTTGGAGATTGAGGTTTTTTAGGCACTCAAGACAATGGTTTATATAAAAATTATAACTTTTATTAAATACATGGTTAAAAAGAGGGGCTCATATTATAAAAGAAAAAAGCAACTCAAGAGGAACACCTACAAGCTCCACCAGAATCCTGAATTGTGGCTAATTATAGTTGCATAGATATATTAATGGATTTGTACAGACAAATTCAATTGTAGGTCGCACCCCCTACAATGTGGTTGACATTATCTAATTGACTAAACAGCTAATGAGTTCATTTGTTATGTTTTCCGTGTGATCAGATCGAAACGAAAGATGAAGTTATTGTTGGATGTTTAGGACCATCCGTTTCATCTAGGTGAATTGGGTATGGCTCGTAGGGACAGATATTTTGTTATTTAGAGTTGGTTCAAAAGTTATACTATCCTAACATTAATCTATTCTCTTAGTTGAGTCAATTGACAATATCAACCATTGACAGTCAAAAGTGCGTTACATCGTATTAAGTTTTATACATGATCTCAGAATTTTTTTTGTAGTTTCGCAGTTTTTGATTCAGGAGATTGGAACTGGTGGAGTGACGACAACGCGTTTCGCGTGTTACCACGCTTCCTCAGGTCTAAGGGTGTTCTAGATTAAAAACAATCATATGAGTCAACTAGTTAATGTCTAATTGAAGATGATATCAGTAGTTATAGTCACACAATGAAAAAAACAATGCACTCGAATGTCCAAAGTATGTCATCCGACAATCACATAATCATTAGTCAGTAACGGCGACTGATAAGCACAAAAAGACCAAAATACCCAAACTAGAAATCATGGTAAGCAAAAACCAGACCAAAGAACAACATAAAACAACAAACAACTACAGGGGCCACAGATGGGCTCACATACAATATATATAAATGTCAGTCTTACCAGTCCCCGGATGAGCCAGCGGATGCCCTCAAAGAATAATGTCAAAAAGTTCAAGTAAGAAAAATGGCATAAGAACAGGCAGAGAGGGAAAAAGTGCAACAGAAAAGCCACCGTGACGGACGGAAGCCCCTATCAATAGGTCAGCCCCTATCCAAAAGAAGAAGAGAAATATTAGTCCGAGTAAGACTCCTCAAAGGTGGGCAACTGCCCAACCAAGGGGAAGGAGAAAGAAAGGAAAAGAAAGTTTGTACCTGTGAGGGAACAAGCCCTAATCAGAGAGAGCAGGGAACCTGAAGGAATTGATTCCCCAAACCGAGTTCAACCAACCACCAGAGGGCCATTGTCTCTGTGTACAAGCCACCAAGACTAACAGTGAAATTGGCGATTTTTTTTATGAACATGATTCTCAAAATAAATAAATAGATGACATACCTGTATATTCTGAATTCTTATTAAGACCTTACATGTGTGCCTAGTATTTAAAAAAAAAAGGAGGGGCCATCGCTGTGTTCCCGGACAGGACCTGGGCGTCTATTTCAGCCTATGACGTAATGACGTCATATCCTGCCGTGCATCCCGATTGGGTCACGCCCCACAGCTGGGTTTGGTTAGTCGGTGCGGACCGTGGGAGCTGGTATCTCCCCAGTGTCCGCCCAGCAGGGGGTTGGGTTAAGGCTGGTCATCCGAAGATGACGACGCCCATAATCTGTCTGGATCCATTAGACATAGTCTTGGCCATTTTAATTGAAAATTACGACAGCATGTGGAGATAACTTCTCAACCCCAACATAGGGTTTTCCAATTATGTCAGATGCTTTGTTGGCTTAAAGGGAGCAACCAATGGCTGCCCGGAGACCAGCTGGGTCTGGCTTACATTAAATCTATATGTGATAGCATAGAGATTAGAAAAATATGTATAACATCATCATACTACAATAAACTGTATTATAACTTTAGATCTATATGTAATAGCATAGCAATTAGAAAAATATATATATCCTTCTAGTACTACAATGAACTGTATTCTAGCTTGGATAGCTTGGGATGTTAAACAACTATCCTCGCCCTCATACCGGAGAGGGGAAAAAAGGTTTATCGAGAAGGGGGGAGAAACGAGCCCAAAAAGAAGGGCTCACCTTTCCCCCCACCCATAATACCACATTCAAAGAGCACCACGATATCTGGAGGAGGGGGGCATTTCCCATATCTCCCTTACAAGATATGGTAAGATGGAAAAGAAGTATGTGGTCATATTGTGAAAGAGAAAAGGGGGAAAAAAAGGGGGGAAAAAGATTGTGCTGAAAACATTTCCCGCACCTTTTCTATATAAAATCGCTTGGTGTCTGGTTGAAAAATCTGGTCGGGGATAGGGAGGGGAAGGAAGAAAGGGGGGGGG